GCGGAGACGCGCCCGCGCCAGCGCCCGCGCCCCGGGGGCGGGGCCTCCCAGGGCCTCTCGGCACCGCTCTTGGAATCTCCGAGGCTGGTTAGCTAGCTCTCTGTGCGCCTATCCGCTAATAAAAATGCTATCAGGCAAAGCCAAGGATGGGGCACCTCAGAAAGGCCAGAGGGGTGTTTGAAAAGCATAAATAAGATGACAATCTCAGCCGGGCTCGGTGGCTCAGCCTGTAATCCCGCGCTTTGGGAGGCCGAGGTGAGTGACCCCTCGGGCACTTGGCGAGACCTCATCTCTACAATAATTCAAAAAAGCTGGGCGTGGTAGCGGGCACCTGTAGTTCCAGCTACTTGGAAGGCTGAGGTGTAAGGATCGCTGGAGCCCAGCTGGTCGAGGACGCGGTGGCCAGGAGCGTGCCACTGCATTCCAGTCTGGGCGAGAGTGAGACTCCAACTCAAAAAAAAAAGATGGCAATCCTCGGCTTACAGTTTTTCGTCAGCAGACTCATCTCTCCTAAAATCCAACTTCATAGCCTCAAAAGCTGTGACCTGCCACTGCGTACCTCTTGGGCCCGGCGTTCCCTGGTTAGCTTTGCTCCAGCCACACGAAGCAGCGCTTCTGAGACCCCTAGCTTGTTCGTGCCTTTGGGCCTCTGCAATCACTGGCCCTCTGCCTGCAACGCCACCTTCATTCAAGTCTCACTCATTGATGCCTGCCCTGACCACACCAGGCTGATGTTTCTCCCCCACACGCTCTCCATCCATCGTTTATTCAAGACACCTCGTTCCTGAAAAAAAATGATCGTATTTATCATCTCTCCCACTAGAACTTCGCTCCAAGGTGGTCAAGGACCTTGGCTTGCTCAGGTGCTCAATATTTAGGCCAATGGAATTGGGTTGCCAGGGAGGAAAGATTTCTTTTCCCCAGAGGTTATGAAGATGTGTGGAGCTGCTAAGTCTCTGTCCCACTTTAGTCCTGCTTCATTCCCAGTTAGGGCACAGCCCTGCTAGAAGCCCTAGTATTTGACCCCTAGTATGCTCATCCAGACACCTTTATCTTGCCCAAGAAGCTGTGCTCACTTCACTTGCCCTACGAAGATCTTGCCTTGCCACAAGTGTGAATCTGACTCCCAAAGCCTTCTGGTCACCACGCCCACCCAGGTACCCACAGATCTCTCTAGCTGCCTGTTTCCCAAAACTTAGCCAGGCATCTGTCCCCAGAACTGACCCACTTGCCAAAAATTCTGTTTTCTTCCCAGACCAACCCGGCAAAGTCCCCAATGTTACCTTTTATTTTTGAAAAATGAATTTATAAGAATGTCTCTCAACTGGGCGCGGTGGCTCACCCCTGTAATCCCAGCACTTTGGGAGGCAGAGGCAAGAGGACTGCCTGAGCTCAGGGGTTCGAGATCAGCCTGAACAACATGGCAAGACCTCATCTCTACAATAAGTCAAAAAATTAGCCAGGCATGGTGGTGCATGTTTGTGGTTCCAGTACTTGGAAGACTGAGGTAGAAAGATCACCTGTGCCCTGCAGGTTGAGGCAGTGGCTGTGAGCATGCCACTGCACTCTAGCCTGGGCCACAGAGTGAGACTCTGACTCAAAAAAAAAAAAAAAAAAAGAATGCCTCTAAATCCATAGTACTTTAAAGTCAAATGAATATCACTGGCAAATGCTCTGAGGTCTTCCTCATCCTTCAGTCACTCCACCTAGGCACCAGCCCTGGGTGGAAAAAAAAATGAAAAAGGATAAAAGACTGAGAAAATAAGTGAGCCATGTTTGTGAGCAGAGGCCAAGAACATCTAAACCAGACTTATTTTAGAATCACGTTGTTTGTGACTGTAAATATGGAGGTAAAGTTTTATATTAAAAGTATACAGGTTTTCCAACAGAGACAGAATCACACAGTAACTGCAAGAGGCTGGGAGTAAGGGGAGGGAATTGGCCGCAAACACAAAGAACCTGGGAACTTTCTGAGTGGTTGTGATGGAAATGTTCTATATCATGATTGTGATGGGGTAATAAAACTATACATCTGTCAAAATGCACCAAACTGTACTCTAAATGAGGTGAATTTTACTGCAAAGTATTCCTTAAAAGGTCACATAATAGCCAAAATACGGGAAACTTGGAGCTCACCTCCACTCCTGCTCCCCCCAGCAACTCAAGGGACCCAGTCAGGAGACAAGATGGGGTAGAGTACTGTGAAAATCTTTCTTTTATTACTGTCTCTTGTGGCAAAATAACATTTTATACAAATAAGTCACCTGGTTTGCTTTGGACACAAAGACAATAAAAAAGGAATGAGGGTCTTGGGTGAAGTGGAAAAGAGGAGGAAGGACAGATTAGGTCATTGATGTTTCTTACATTCTGTGAAAAATAGACTTACAGAAAAAAAATAGACTTTCACAACTTCAATGACTTTAAATAGTCCTTTGTAAAACAAGGGGCAAATCCACCTCCACCAGATCCTTCTTGAGGCTAAGATGTTTTGTGACATGGAATGTGAGAAACATGGTGGTTCGATGACTAGGCTCCTGCAGCAGGTACAGCAGCACCCTGCAACAGGAATCCTTGTGCACCGGAGCAAGGACTGTGCTGGGAATTTGAGAATGCACTGTCCCCATCCCCAAACCTCACTGACATCATAGGAACACTGGCCACCAGGAGAAAGTGACTTTACAGAGGAAAAAAAGAGTGCCCTGGGAGCACACTAAGGCAGGACTCACCCAATTTGTACATCGGACACAGCCTATTACATCCATTTCAGAAATGAGTTCCACTTCAGCTGAAGCGTGCCCAATAACTGCCATGTCAAGAACTGCTAACGCCCCAGGACACCCAATCACTGTCCCTATGTATTGGAAATCAAAAGGCGCTAAGACTGAGGCGTCTTCAGGAGGTACACACCCCTGAAAAATGCCTTCTCTGAAAAATAGCTTTGAGCTAACACAAAAGGAGAAAATAGCCTACTTAAGCCCAAAACTACTTTTGCTCGTTATGTCCTCTGTTTACCCTTTAGAACATAGACTAAGATAAACCAGGATCTTCTTTGGAAAAGCTAGAAGGGCATCTTAGGAAAAGAGAGACCCTCTCCAGGAGATTTCAAGGCAGAGAAACAAGAGCAAGTCAGGAGAGGAAGGGGGTTCAGGCAGTAGGCCCCGTGGCACCAGGTGGGGCCTGCCACTCTGCTGGAATGTGTTCTCTCCAGGAGCTGTCTTGCAAATGCCAGCTTTTAACAGAGAGCAGGTCCCCCATGTAGGTAGTTTTCCCCCCTCCCATCGTATCATTCACAAGTTAACTGCTAATAACAGTCCAGATTCTATAATAATGTGGTAGCTAAATTCAACATCTGACTGGTTCCATTAATTTCAGAGTAAGTATGGCTTCCACTTTCTCTTCTCAACTCATGTATAAAAGCTTGAATTTCAAACTCATGCTGACAAACACCCCAGAGTGGTAATGCTTCTTAAGATGTCCTGAGCGGCTAGACACTAGAATCCAGAGCCCCAGATATAGAACACCAGAATTTCCGGAGCAGAACATGGCAAATCCCTGTCCTGCTGGGCACAGACCAAGCACTTGGGCTCAAATGATCTCCAGTGAGACTAAGGCAAGCGAATAAGGAAGAGGATACAGTATGACTAAAGTCAGAATGCCAGCTTCCTCCATCTTCCAGGTCTTCTTTCTAGCAAAAGTTAATATGAGATGACCTACTAGTTTGCTAGATACAGCCTGCCCGGGGCACATTTCCAAAACACACACTACTGAGCAGAGCTCTGGGCAGCTCCAGAAACCACGGTCCAGATAATAAATATCAAATAGTGGAAACTCTCCCAATTGGGCCTCCGTCACAGAGAGAAGTGATTATTGTTAAACTTGACAGGAATATTTACAAATCTCATTTGAGGAGCCACAATGAGAAACAGAAAGTGAGGAGACAGTGTTGATGTCTGTCTGCAGATGAGAAGAGAACGATAACAATGCAGCTTTCCCTAGCAGCATAAGGGATAAAGCCACACTTAAGGCACCTGGATTAGTAGTCGACTCAAGTTCTGAGAGTCACCAGTCTGGTGATGAACCCATTCCACAGAGTGCACAGTCTTTTCCCTCCCTCAGGGCTAAATCCAGAGCCAGCACAGAAGGGGATAAACTAGGACTTTCTCAGTGAGACTCTGGCCTGGCACAAAGCACTGGGCCAAGCAAGGTTTAAGGTCACTCTCACTCTAGAATCTAAACAGGGAGCAACACTGGTCAGTGAATGCCCAGGAACGTGTATGGCTACATGCTCTTCTTTCCCCAGCCCCACACAGCCTTTTTCCCAGCACCCGGAGACAGCTCCCTTGTCACAGGTACTATGACGCCTCACAGTGACTCACCACATACTCTTCGATCAACGCTAATGACGTGACCCTGGCCACATCAATATTCTTATCAGAGGGTCATGCAGTCTAGACTGAACACCTAAAGTCATTCACACAGACAGCAACTACAGGGAGCTGAGGTGAGAGTCTGTCCAGTATGGGTCTGAGGACAAAAATAGCCCACAGGATCTACAAGGAAGCTTTTCTGCACATCACTGTGACACTCTGACACCATCTCAGCCTATTTCACTCTTTCTAAACACCCAAAACAACTCCAACTAGTGGCTTGAAGGATCAGAATATGCATTACTTAGCTCTGATCTGCTAGGATGGTTCCAGAATCTACTTCAGTAGAAAGGCAGATAGGAAAACTCTACTAAGCAAGAAATCTTTTTTTTTTTTTTGAGTTAGAGTCTCACTCTGTCACCCAGACTGGAGTGCAGTAGCATGCTCCTGGCCATCGCAGCCTCAATCTGCTGGGCTCCAGCGATCCTTCTGCCTCAGCCTTCCAAGTAGCTGGAACTACAGGCACATGCTACCACGCCCGGCTACTAAGTAAGAAATCTACAAGGAGTTTTGAAAGCAAATCCTCATCAAAAGTCAATCCTCCAGGCTATGATATGTAGTGAAAATCTAATCTCTCTTTTAGAGAGCTGCTGCTGGTTTGTAAGTATACCTCTCCCAAATGAGACAGATTAGCCCAGAAGCCTGATAATACTATCAGAAATCTAACTGCACATCACATATGCTGGGAACACCACTGATACTATATAAAAGCTCCCAAAAAGAAGTCTGGAAATAAAAAACCAAAATACAAGGTCTGCTCTGGCCGTGAGAGATACTACTATTCCATGAGCAAAGCTGACACATTCTGTTTCACAAGAGACTCAAGAGTGAGGAGCTAGGAGAAGCAGAGCAAGCTCATCTGTCCTCCAAAATGAGAACAGGAAGGCACTGCCAGGCTGAACCTCGGTCTATCCCCAGGAGGACCAGCTGAGGATCTTAGAAGTCAGACAGAAAAGCAGGCTTCTCCACAAAGAGGATCTTCCAGTTTGGCAGGATCACTCATCCGTTGGTGCCTCAATTCTTGGCACTCCTCCTCCCCTTCCCACCCCCTTTCAAGTTTCTTCCAGTTGGATTAAACTATGCACAGGCTGAGGGCAGACTGTGCTGATGGCAATGCCGGAAGTAACGAGGAGTTGTCTGGAAGAGGCCTACTTTCAGCTTCCCACAGGACCCAGGAACCTTGAGAAGAGCTGCTAACCTGCAGACAGGCCTGGCCACAGCCTTCTCACATGGGCAGAGCTATGTCTGGAGAGACCAAGGCTTGTCAGTACAACCAGTTAGCAGGTAGAACTACATGAAAATTAACTTTTTTTATCTGGATTCCAGGAGGCTTATCCTTATCTTTTCTTTACTGTAGTACCTCTGTGACCTAAGGAGCAGGGGGAAAAGGGAAAAAAAAATACTGGAGAAGAAAACACAGCACTGCTTGGCACCTCCCTTGGAGCACAGGAAACTGCCACCCCTTGGCTTCCTGGGGCTAGGTTCCAGATGTGTGTTGAAAAATTGCATCTTCAGTCACCTCCGTGTGCCAGGATCCTGTGGCTGCAACAAAGCACCTCCCCTGTTTACTCCTGCAGCAGTTACTGGCCTCCATTATAGGCATAATCAGCCTTGTTGTGCATGATCAGCTTGTTGTCAACAAAGTAGAAGCTGTCAGAGCGGGTCTCATAAGGATTTTCAATCATCAGACGAACTGCAAGTCGGGGGAAGAAACAGAGCAGTTATGTTTGAGTCTACCCTACGGGCTAGTGGGAAAAAACTTTGTATCCCTTCCAAAATAAGCCAATGCTCCCAGAAAATATGAGTATACCCTACCAGAATAATGAAGTCGGAACAGAGAGAGCCAGTCCTTGATAGCTGGGGAGACCAAGGCCCCCAAACTGAGCATGATCTCCATTTCAACATGAGGATGCAATCAACTCTCTGATATGGCCTCCTTCAGTCACCTCCAGCCTAGATTCTTACAGTCAGGACCCCAAGGAAACACACTCACCTTGCCAACATAGACCACAGCAGCCTATTTACTCAGTGCTCTCAGCTGACCAAAGTAAGCCCTGGCCTCGTGGCCTAACTCTAGACATTCCAGTACAAATTTAGAAATCTGTGCCTCTCTATGCCCACTTCCTGTGGGCTTCCCTGACAATCTAAGGAATCCAAGGTGAGAATGAGTGCAGGCAAGGAGCCTTCTCCACAGGCAGCTTGACTATTATTAACTCTCAAATACTTGTCTTGGGATCTAAATTGAAGTCTTCTATTTGTTCAAGCAATTGTCCAGATCTCTTTAACCATACTGGAGAGTAAAGATAATTAAGTCACTGCCTCTAATCAATTTTGAATTAATGATTACACATCATTTTGAGTGTTCTGGAGGAAATGCTATTGTTTACCACATTTCTGAAAACATGAAATTGATTTTTTAAAGTTCCCTTTGAACTTTCTGAGGCCAAAACTATTTGGTTTATATCCAGAACACTGAACTCCAAATTATTTCAACTGAGTGGGCTTCACAGGTAAAACATATAATGCTGTACATAATCTTTTCCTGCAAGTATTTATATCTCCCAGCCAGTCTGAGGATTCAAGCCAGAATCTAATGCTGTCATAAACATCCTGCCCCACATCTCAGCAATTCTCGTTTTACCTGAGAAGAGCACTGCCCCACAAGTAAAGAGTACCTGATTTTTGGAATATGACAACCCCTAAGAAGCTGGGATTCTGAAAGACCCAGTCAGCGTGGGTAGTCCCCACAACACAACTAAAGCTCATCACTAGTCACAGGATTCCACTCACATTCTCATAAATGTCCTGAAGCAATTTTCCCTCATGACTAGCAGAGAATGACAACCTGAGATAGCTAGGCCAAAGTCACAGAAATTGGCAAAGCCTGTTCTCTCTCTCTGGTTCAGTCCTTATCTTCCCTCACCTACGCTACACAGCAGCCTTCTCCCTTTGGTGCCTTCTCCAGTTCTACCTTCATGCAACCACAGGGCCACTCTTCCTAAGACTATGCTTCCATCCTCTCACTCCTGCTCCAGAACCCTAGTTCCTGCTGGATCTATGCTAACAGTTTATCTAATCAACCCTCTGTCTTGCAAGCATGGGAAAGAAGGGGTCCTCAGACCTTGATTCTATTTAGCCTGGAGTTTTCAGGCTCTGATTAAAGAAGGGCCAATGACTAGAACACAGTGAAAAGCCATGACTTAGCAGTGGACAGGAAAGGCACTTTATCTGACTGGAGTCCCAAGGATTGTCACAGCCCTCCTCTTATCTCCCTCAGGTACTCCCTTTCCCATAGGAGACATCTAGAAGGATGGCCTATATTATTAAAACCTTCATTGCTTCCATACAGCCAGAGTCAGAGTTTGAAACAGGATCCAGGAGCAGTAGGAAATGAGAAGCCTGAGGTCAAATGACTAGATATGTATCACATCACTATAGCCATGTGACTAAACAAGGCTGTTGGACCAGATGGGTTTCAAGGTTCATTCTTTCTAGCCTTCAGAATTTAAAATGCTCTAAGAGTCAGGGGATACATACTGACATCCTCCGAAAGCTGAGGAAACTCATAGATATGTTCACAAGTGTTTCTACTGCTGGGGATGCAGAAGCCAAAATCAAAGTCAAAGTTTTTCAGCAAGCGTTCCCGGAAATAGTGCCGTTCAATCATCCGGAAGTTTGACACAGGTTTGTCTCCCACTGTGAATTCCACCCTGCAAAATAAATCTCTGTGAGTCCTACTTTGCCTCCCCACTCCTCTAAAACCAACTCAAAACCCAACTGAGAACATTATTTTCTGTGAACAAGCAGAATGTTCTCCCCTCAGGAAATAATGATACTCACGTAGCCCCAACTGTCCGGAGGCGGAGAAAGGCTGGCGTGAATTGATAACGGACAAAACGCCCTGCACTGATATCCACATCTCCACCCTCCTCCTCTTCTTCTTCCTCCTGGTCTGAAAGAGCACACAGAATCTTCAGTGCACCATCTCGGCACTCACAGTCCAAGAGTTCTACCATCAGTTCAAACAGCACAACGGCAACAAATTCATAATACTAACACCAGCAGGAAGAATGGTTAATATTTACTGCACACTTGCTATATGCCAGGCTGTGCTAAGTGCTTCACAGAATCCTAACAATCCTGTGAGGTATCATTATCTCCATTTTACAGACCAGGAAGCTCAAGTTTGGAGAGGCCAAGTAGTATGTCCAGAATCCCTCAAATAGTAAATGGAGGGAACAGGGATTTAAATCCAGGTCCATCTAGACCCAACACTAAGCTCTTTGCCTTTTATATAATTTGGGGGCTTAGGCCATATCATAAGGATGAAGCCTGAAACACAAGCTGGGTACTAGGTTCCTGACATGGTCTATATTATAAAGACTAGGTCTGCTATTGACCAAGATGAAATGCTAACCACTAACCTAAAACAATGGGACTATAAAGTTGACACTGATTGAAAAGTTCCTTCAAAGAATGTAAAAATTTCTGACAGGCAGCAAAGACAAACTACTAGAAATAAATTTGGTCAGTAGTGGGAGCTTACACCTGTAATCTCAACACTTTGGGAAGCCGAGGTGAGAGGATCACTTGAGCCCAGGAGTTCTAAACCAGTCTGGGCAATCTAGCTGGATACGGAAAATAAAAAAAAAAGTTAGCCGGGCATAGTGGTGCATATCTGTAGTCCCAACTACTCGGGAGAATGAGGTGGAAGGACCACCTGAGCCCAGGATGTCAAGGCTACATTGAGCCATGATTGTGCCACTGCACTCCAGCCTGGGTGACAGAGTGAGATCCTATCTCAAAATAATAATAATAATTTTGTTATTTATATGAAAGACAATGACCTACAGCCTTGGGGTAATGTACTTCCTTGGACTGATGTCCGTTTCAGGCCATACCAGGCCTAACCTTCTGACTACCTGGGAAAGGGTGAAGCACATGGGCAATGAACCAACGTGAGGCCTCTACAAGGTTAACGCTGGTCTAGTCCATTCCTAAATCCAGTAGATGAAAGATTTGTAAAATGAATCAGAGAACCAAGCATTCGAATGGGAACAAGGACTTAGAATTCTCCAGTGTACAATAAGAGTGTTTTCTCCAGACCTAAGCTGAACATGGTATAATACAGAAGTCTTTTTCAGCATCAAATATCTCTGCCTATGACAAGCCCAAGAGCAACTGGACAACCAGATTGAGTAGGAGTTCATACCCAAAAAGTCTAGACTATGTGATTCAAAGAGAATCAGACCAAATCCCTCTCAGGGATTTGAATTCATCAGAACAAGTACTATAAGAAGGTACTTATCGATGTAAGAATATTTTAAGTGAAATAAGATCTTTAAATGTAAAGACTAGAGAACTCCCAATCAAAAATAAGTACCCACAAGTTTGAGCTTTGGGCATCTTGATCAGTGCTTGATTATAACAGCATAAAGAATACTGGTTTAGCCGGGCTCGGTGGCTCAGCCTGTAATCCCGCGCCTTTGGGAGGCTGAGGTGAGTGGACTGCCTAAGCCCGCAGGTTCAAGACCTGCCTAGGCAACGAGATCTCATCTCTACAATAAATCAAAAAATCAACCAGGCGTGGTAGTGCATGCCTGTAATTCCGGCTACTTGGAAGGCTGAGGCGGAAGGATCACCGGAGCCCAGCAGGTTGAGGCTGCGGTGGGCAGGAGCAGCCACTGCACTCCAGTCTGGGCAACAGAGTGAGACTCCAACTAAAAAAAAAAAAAGAATACTGGTTTAGTTGGGTGTGGTGGCTCATGCCTGTAATCCCAGGACTTTGGGAGGTGGAGAAAAGAGAAATGCCTGAGTCCAGGGATTCGAGACCAGCCTGAGCAAACCTGGCGAGACCTTGTCTCCACAATAAACCAGTTAGCTGGTCATGGTGGCACATGCCTGTGGTTCCAGCTACTTGGAAGGCTGAAGCGGAATGATCACTTAAGCCCAGCAGGTCGAAGCTGCAGTGGCCGTGAGCATGCCACTGCACTCCAGCCTGGGCATCGAGTGAGACTTCAACCTCTCCCCCCAAAAAAAATACTGGGTAGTCAGGTGTGGCTGGGTGTGGTGACTCCTCATACCTATAATCCCAGCACTTTGAGAGGCCAAGGCAGGAGAATCACTTGAGACCAGGAGTTCGAGACTAGCCTGGGCAATATAGCCTGACTTTCATCTCCACAAAAATAAAAATATTAACCAAGTATGGTGGCAGATGCTTGCGGTCCTAGCTCCTCGGAAGGCTGAGGCAGGAGGATCTGAGCTATGATCATGCCACTGCACTCCTGGGCAATAGAGCAAGAGACACACACACACACACACACACACACACACACACACACACACAGAATACCGGGTAAGAGTGAGACAAAGACCTTACTAAATTTGCAGGCTCTGAGTAGCAAATCAGATGAGAAAAGCTTTGCAAAATAAGTTATTACAGACTACGTTGATATTATAAAAGGAATCTGTGACAGTGTTCTAACAAATGACTAACTCCAGAGGGTGCTACACCTCCAGTGACCAGCTCCAAAGACTTATGTGGTCCCTTGGCCAGAATGAATCACACTGGAACTAACAGTATCACAGCACAGGAAGCCTCTAACTCAAGGCTAATTTAAGGAATCTCAAGTAGATGAGTTATGGATTCTGTTCCTCCAGAAAATGGTGGAGATTAAAATCCAAACATCCAAACAAGGTCTTACTGGGAAATCCAAGGCACTAACTAAAGAGTGAGAAGATAAGTGAAGATACTTCATTCATGGTCTGGACTGGAATTCTCAGTATCACCTTTCCAGGGGACTCAAGGCCCAGGTGAGTTTTCCTCATTATAGTTTAATTTGAAGGATTGCTTTCCTAATTGGAGGCAGTATGATAAGATGAAAGAGTACAGGACCTTGGAAAAGTGTCACTTGAAAATTTGGGGCCTCAGATTTTTCTCTGTAAAATGAGGATAATAATCCCTCGTAGAGGTGTGAGGATCACATACACTGACGTGCAGAAAGAAGTAAAACACAGTGACCAGCAAAGAGTAGATACTCAGCATACAGTCTCCTCTTTTTTTTTTTTTTTTAAGTCAGAGTCCTCCTCTGCTGCCCAGGCTGGAGTGCAGTGGCACCCTCATGGCCACCGCAACCTCAATCCACTGGGCTCATGCAATCCTTCTACTTCAGCCTCCCCAGTACCTGGGACTACAGGTGCACACCATCATGCCTGGCTAATTTTTTATTTCTTGTAGAGACGAGGTCTCACCAAGTTGCCCAGGCTGGTCTTGAACCCCTGGGCTCAGGCAATTCTCTCGCCTCTGCCTCCCAAAGTGCTGGAATTCAGATATGAGCCACCGTGCCTTCTAACGCAGTTACAAAACACCACCACATGGCAGGTCAGGCCATGGGAAGAGGTCATAGAAGCAGTACACACTGAAATTCAAGAAATAGGATGCAGCCAGGCTTGGTGGCTCAGCCTGTAATCCCAGCGCTTTGGGAGGCCGAGGTGAGTGGATTGCCTGAGCCCGCAGGTTCGAGACCCGCCTGGACAACTTGACAAGACCTCATCTCTACAGTTAATCAAAAAATTAGCTGGGTGAGGTAGCTCATGCCTGTAGTTCCAGCAATACTTGGAAGGCTGAGGTGGAAGGATCCCTGGAGCCCAGCAGGTCAAGGCTGCAGTGGCCGTGAGCAATCACTGCACTCCAGTCTGGGTGACAGGGTGACAGAGTGAGACTCCAACTCAAAAAAAAAAAAAAAAATAGCCGGGTGTGACAGCGTGCACCTGTAGTTCTAGCTACTTGGAAGGCAGAGGCAGAAGGATCGCCAGAGCCCAGCAGGTCAACATTGGGGTGACCATGAGTGTGCCACTGCACTCCAGCCTGGGCAAGAGTGAGACTCCAACTCAAAAAAAAAGAGAAAGAAACAGGATGCAATGGTACACAACAAATATTCAAGTCTCAAAGACCTTTGGCTCAAAGGTCCTCAATATCAGAAGCTTACCTGAAACACAAGGTTTGGCAATTTCAAAAAGCACTGTCCCTGTCTCCAAATCTCGAATTTTGAAGCGTGTGAAATCAATACTGTAGATGTTGTCTTCAGGTTTACATAAATAATCTGAAAATAAGAGAAAGAAACCAATACTGCTAAGTAAGCTTCCAAAACTACATTTAATTCTCAAGTTTTGAAGCAAACTCAGGTTTCTTTCCCTACATAATTAACGTAAAATGCACCCAAAAACTTCCTCTTGTGCTATCATAAGTAAAAGCTGAGCATTAAGGGATCCAAAAAAGAAAAAAAAAGAGACTTGGTTTGAATCAAAGATAACTATAACACTTTAAGAAACAGGGACAGAAACGGAGAATTTCCTTGAAAGCACCTACAAATCTTTCATTATCTATCAACTTAGAAGTCACAACAGAATTTTTGTAGACATCCATTTAAAAACATTTAGACTGATGTAACAGATAATAACATAGTGCTAGTTTGTCAACTATTAGTATAAGAAAGCAAGGAACAGCAAACTTCTCTGACACATCAAATGATAATTAATTTATGCTTCGTGACCACTTAGTCTCTGTCACAACTACTCAACTCTGTTACTGTACCACAAAAGCATCCAGACAATAAGCAAATTAATTAATGTGGCTGTATTCCAATAACTGTATTTATGGACACTGATATGAATTTTACATAATCACACGTCACATGATTTTTCAAAATTTTTTTCAACCATTTAAAGGTGTAAACATCATTCTCAGTTTGTAGGCTGGTCAAAATCACGCAGTGGACCACATAAACACAGGTAGCAGGATAAACTGGTTGCTAAGGGCATTAGGCCAGAGAAGAGCCTACAACAACCTGAACTCCTAATCAAAAGAATACCAATTACAGAAAATTTCAGATTTTTATGACGACCCCTGGCAGCATCTTTGCCACAGCTCATTCTGAGACTTTGTCTTATATTGCTAGCTTATGTTAGTTGTTTCGTGTTTCACAAGTTGTCTCTTTAGTAAGATGTCAAACTTGAAAGTTACTCATTATTCTGTAACTCCAAAAAAGGTTGACATTGATCCTGTGCCTTTAGAGGAAACTCAATAAATAATTTGCTAAACAGAATTAACGAGATGTGAAAAAGTAACAAAGAGGTTACCAAGCTTTGACCTGTGGCTTTCTCTAAAAAATTACAGAGGTAGGTTTGGGCAATGGCACCAATTCCAAGCTCCCAAACAGGACCTGAGTGCCCACTGAGAATAATGCAGGCATTATTAGAATGACCTAATCCACCTTTGATATCAGAAGAGAGCAAGAAGTTACAGAGGTCAGGAACTTGAGCATCTCTGTGCTTCCAGACTAGGTCAGAACAGCAGCAGCTTTTTCACAATGTTTCAATTAAACTGAATGGCAAGACTGTCAAAAGACACACTCAGGCAGGCAAAGGACAGCCCCAATCTAAAGAGTGATGAAAAATGGGGACATCCAAACATCTAGAATCAAATTGAAGCCATTTAAGGGTATGGGAACTCCTTTTTGCACAGGTTGGACTAAGGCCCACCTCTCCACCCCTCAAATTACTGGAGCTGCCACCAGCAACCTGAGGGATACCTGAGCAGCCCTAAACTAAAGCAATTCAACAAACAACACCGCGAATGGCCTTGCATCCATCAAGGAAGAGCAGGGCTAGAAGTCTCCAAGGCAGAAGGGATGGACAGATGGACAGAGGGGCAGAGGGGCAGAGGGGCAGGGCAAGACTAACCAGGTGACTGCAAACTCCTGGGGGGGGGCAGCAAGAGAAAGGGTGCCAAGTCAGGAACTGGCTTGGCAGAGGACAAAAAAGGGAGACCACCCGACAGAGAGTGGGCAATATATGTGTTCCCCACTTCCTCATATCAATGAAAAAGCTTAGAATGGCTTTATGTAAGAAATGCACTTCTGAAATCCTGGCACCATTCTTTTTTTTTATTTTTTTTTGAGTTGGAGTCTCACTCTGTCACCCAGACTGGAGTGCAG